TCTCTCTCTCTCTCTCTCTCTCTCTCTCTCTCTCTCTCTCTCTCCCTTCCTCTCATGTATGTGCATATGTGTGTGTGTGTGTGTGTATGTGTCTCACTGTGATAAATGGAAAATCATCTTTGAATTTCTGAGTTTATATTTTCACTAGAAGTCTTTATTTACTTATTAAGATTTACTAAGATCATGGGAAAATTTGAAAAATGAAAAGGTAGAACTATTTTAGAAAAAGAAATGAAAATGATGATTTTTATTTTCTGTTCTGTGTGTCTTTTTTCTCCTTCCTGGAGGTAAATCATTTTGCCCTATTAATTCCAGGCATGTATGTTTCACATGCAGTGAACATCCCTGGACTTGGTGGCTCCTTTTGGGGCTTTGCACCAGTGTCCAGTGATGCTCAGACACATGTATCCTGCTGGGCCAGCTCAGCCCGGGTGATTATATCAACTAGGCAAACTTTTACTTTACCCAGAAGCGATAATTATGTGTGTAACATGTGTCTTAATCCATCAAAGTTAAAGTTTGCTTGGTTTTGGCTTCTCACTCTTTCCTGATTCACCCAAATCTTCATAACTCAACTTTGTGGATTTCTAGCAAGGCCATATAGTGTCATGCCTACGGATGTCTCAGATGACAGGCAGTAACTGATTCTCCCGCCGTAGCTTGGGTTAGGAGCCTTAGGATCCATTTACACGGTTGGGAGACACTTCCAACGTGTTAAACGCTTGTTTCAGAAGCATTTTGTGAATTTTTTAATGTTTCTAAACTACTGTTTGTCTAAACAAGTTTTCTCCCATTACCTACTCCAGCAGGTAATGGTATGTCAGTACTTAGTCCCGCTGTGTGGTCAGTCACAGGGCCTGCTCGTTCTCCTGAACAGATACGTCTTCCACCCTGACAGCAATCCAATTTATTAGACTCCACAAAGCCAGGGCAGGCTTTAAAAATGTTCATAAAAGCAAGACACTTGGGTCTTAAACCCCTAAATCTAGTTTTGCTCTATTTAACTTGAAGCATTTATTGTGGACTTTCAAGTCCACGATTCTCCCAGAATGCCATCCAAGCAACACAAAACGGCCTCCAGATCTGATGTGTTGCCTCCGTTTAACTTTCCAGGTGAAACCCTCCCACTGGCTACATCCAATCAGATTCTGCTTCGATTCAGCGCAAAGAGCGGAGCTTCTGCACGGGGTTTCCACTTCGTGTACCAAGGTGAGGAGCACCCTATGCACTGTACTTTGTGTACCGGTGGGGGGGGGCACCCTGTGTTCTGCACTTTGAGTAGCAATGTGGGAGGTACCCTGTGAGCTGCATTTTGTGTACCAAGGTGAGGGTGCATCCTGGGCTTCTAACATTGAAGAAAAGTCAACAAATTTCATTTCTGTGACATTTAAATAGTAGAGACCATTCATATATGTGAGATAGAATCACTTATTAAGAATAATTAGATTTTTCTTTTGGCACTCTAAATTGTACTTCTACTTCAAAGACATAGTACCTTATTTTCTAGCATTATAAAAACAATTATTGATTAAACTATCTATGAATGACTCTTCAGATATTGCAAAATGACATAAAATACAGTATTTGTCTAATTATGTAAATCATGTCATAAATATTTAGAGCTACATGTATTGAAATATAAACATATATTTGAAACAAACATGTTTGTTGTGAAAAGTAGCTGAAATTATAATTTAACAAAGACGAATGCAGAACTGACATGACCATGACTATTCCTCTGAATGAACAACACTTTGTAAAATTAACCTATCTGTTCCACATCTTTATGCTTGTTTTTTTGTTTGTTTGTTTGTTTGTTTAATTTGGTGCTTATTTAAATAAAGCTGAGACTGTTTAAAAGTCTTCCAAAATGAAAAAGATGTGATATATTCACTCAGCTTGAATATTCATTCCACAAACTTGAAGTTTAGGAGCACAGAACAGTGGATCTGGAGCTGCTTGTGACACTGTGGGGTGGAGGGAAGAGCTACTTCTGGGCTCCACTCAGCCCAGTCCTGAAAACAACCCTCTTCTAGACCTGACGCCACACACTTCACATCCCAGCACCTGAGGCTGAAGCAGAAGGATTGTGAGTTTCCAAGCCGTACAGCAAGATCCATTCCCAAAATACACCCCCCCAAAAAAAGGAACAATAAAGAAATTCTTAATTTGTCTCCATCTAAGGTCATCCGGCCAGGAGTTTACCATCTACCCTTCAATATTTTCCTCATAATTAGAGGGAAGTCACTTATTTGAGTCATTCCCTGCCTTGAGATAGAATTCTCCAGAAAGTGTCCTAAAAAGATTATGCTTTTCAGAAAACCACAGAGGATAACAGTCATACCATTTGTTTCAGTCCTAAAAATCTCACAGAATAATAGCAATTTGGTCAAAATATTTCCCATAAAAGGTTTCCGTTTTCATCATCGAAATCATATGAATGGTGTCAGACAGAAGGTTGCAATGATACTGGCAATGCACATGAGAAATATTTCTAACCCTTAAGTGGCATTGTTAGGGAATTAAAAGTAGTTACATTGTTTTAAAGTTGTAGTTTTTGTTAAATGACCAATATATTTTTAATTGACTTTGCTAAACAATGATTAATTTAGGCAAGCTGGCTAAACTTATTTTCTTCAGATGAGTTTTTAATTACTTTTTTCCGTGTAGATACATAATCTAAAACTCACATTTCTTCTGTAACAAAAGCAGACTGATTATTTTTAAGTAAATTTTTCCTCTTAGGAAAAAAAAATCATACTAACATTAGGAAATGAATCCAAGTTACTAACAACAGGAGTCTTTGTATGGGGCTTCCTCTGGCTTTTGAAAAAGAATAGATCATTGGTCAGGGAAGCGACAAAGGGAAGTCAAGGCCTGTGCTGAGTTCACACTCAGGCGACATATATTGGAAAAGAATTAAATCATTCCATGCATATGTGTCTGTGTAGTGGGGTGTTTATGGTTTATGAGTTCATCAAGTGCATGTCAATGTGTGTGCATGTGTGTACATACATACATATGTGTAGAGGCAGGAGGTCCATCTAGGTGTCTTTCTCAGTTGTCTCTCTCAACCCTATTTTTAAGACAGGGTCTGATTCTGAACCTAAGGCTCACCAACTTATTCTAACAGTACAACAACCTCCAGGGATCCACCTGCCCCCACAACCCAGCCCTGGGATTCCAGGTGCACACAGCATTTTCATTTCCATAGTGACCTGAGCTTCCTCAGATTTGTATGGTAAGCATTTTATTGTCTGAGCTGTCTCCCAGTCCCGAAAAATTGTTTCTTTATATAAATTCAGACTTCGTCATTGAAATATGTAAAACTACAGAAAACTAGAGAGCAGACATTTATAAGAGGAATTGGTTTCCCTTGTACAATATTACGTCTCACATATTTAATGTCTTACAAAGCCCAACACTCCACATTTCCCTACTCTCTACTATTGAGTTTATGCAAAATGAGTCTTTCATCAACGCTAAATCCCCTGGAGGTAAATGAAGAAGCTTGTGAATCCAGTTTATAAACTACTCAAAGGCAAAAAGAAAGTCTTCAACCCAGAGAGAGAGATTGAGAGAGAAGTCAACCAAGCACTGGCTTTTTAAAAGAAAGCTACACTGAAGCTACACATTATTTGCACCCTTATTATATACAAATATTCCGAGTGGCTATACCTTCACCCATCTCAAAGTTATAAAATCTCTGTGACTTTGTGCTCTGAGATTATAGGATGCTTGACCCCTTGTTACCAGGCAGACAGTCCATTATGAAGAACATCGGAGATGCCAGTGCAAGCCATATGTCAAAGGATGGAGTGCAGAAGTGTGCCTGGGACTCAGGTGTGGAAAGCTGCCCTGGCAGCTCAGGCTAGCTCCCTCACAGCCCACAGTGGCTTCCTCTTGAAGGAGTATGTCGCAATTCTGAAAACAGACATAGATTGTCTTCCAAGCTACTGACAAAGTGCTGACTGATGGTTAGTTATGCTGTTGATGCACAGAGGGAAGAGTGTCTCCGTGGGTAATTACTTTAGATGGGCTGGTCTGTGGGCACATCTATGAAGCATCCAAGGCTCCTGAAGTGTACCAAAGTGAAGAAAGCCAGCCAGCAAGCAAGCAGGCAGACCTGCAGGCAGCCTGGAGCGTTTACTTCTCCCTGTACTTGACTGTGGCTGTGGTGTGAGCAGCTGTTGTGCATTTTTGCCTCTGTGGTTCCCCTTTAGTTAACCAGGCATTGGCATTACAAACTAAGTAAAGCCTCTCTTTCCCTGTGTCAATTTCAGCCAAGATGCTTTATCACAGCAAGGGAAAGGAAAATAAAACAAAGACTTAACTGTAACAGCCAGGGATATGTCACCCCCACTTCTCCTCTACCTATTGTCTGATCCTGTCCAAGTTAACTCTTACTCAGTGGCTCAGTCTCTCACAAGCATACTATTTTGGTTTTGTCTGGGTGTTGCTTTGTTTTGTTTTTTGTTTTTGTCCGGACCTATATTTTTATTTTATCTGTATGAGTGTTCTGTCTGCTTGTATATTGGTGTACCATTATGTATACCCTTGAAAGCCAGAAGAGGGCACTAGATCCCCTGGGATTGGAGTTAAAGCTGCTATGTGGGAGGTAGGAATCAATCGAGTGTTCTCTGGAAAAGTAACCGTTGCTGCTAACTGCTGGTTCATCTCTCCAGTCCCAGTATACTGTTTTTTAGTCATCTTCCTTCTATTCATGCCTGGACATTTCAGCATACAGTTTCATGCCTCTTTCAGCCAGCTCTGAGTAAACTGTTCTCACCAGTGTCAGCAAGCTGGCAGAATCCACTGTCTACTTTTGTGTGAGAAGAAGACTTAGCCTCTCCACACAACAGGAAAGGGACTGCTGACCTCAGCTCTGTCTCTCTGAGTCATGGCTCTGGGACGTCAACTAACTACATGTGACCTTCTCTAAACCCTGGTCACAACTAAAATAACATACAGCCTGTCCCAACTACATTAGAGAATCATTATTCCTCAATAATATCTGGACAGCACCCCAACCTCAGCCATACGGGCGAAATAATATCCTGCCTCAGACTCATCTGGTTCCTTTGAGCTTGAGTGGTAAAAAATGGAAACCCAGAGTCTCATTGCCATGAAGCCTTGTTGCTTCTTTACCATGGCTGCTTTTCTCAGATGCTATCAACTGAGAGCATAGCTGATTTTGTATTTCTAAGGAAAGTACATTTTGTTTTAAGAGCTTACAAAGTGTGGTTTTGTATCGAGAATGTTTATGATGAAACTGTGTATGTGATTCAATGGTGTTTTACTAATTCCCTAACTATGACCAACCTTGTCAGGTCAGAATCCTCAACTCCCAACAGATAAAGACTGTCTCTGTGTCACTAAAGGAAATAAGAGAATTCCCTAAAAGCCCTCCAATTTTTTCTTCGAGTTGTTGTTGTTCAACTTTCTGTCAGAGGATGCAGTGGAAGGCCACACACATGCCTCGTAGATTGGTAATGGATCTCTTATGCTCTTCTAGTAATTCCAAATGAATTTTTCCCACTCTCAGCTCTGTGAGACCCTATAAAGAAGCACTCAGCCTCTTGCTCATCACAGTGGTGTGGCATGATGGGGCGTGGCACGGTGGAGCATGGTGTGTTGGTGCGTTGGCATGGCATGAAGCAGATCCTCTCTCTCTCACTTACCTTCCAGATGACCCTATTTTGTTCTCATTCTCTCTCTGATACTTTCACATTTGTTTTGTGATGGTGCAATTATCGTTTAAGAGGGAAAGAGTAGTAACAAGAGAAAAGAACTCTTGCCTTCTGCCTGAAAAGCCTGGATGAGCAGGAACCAGAGGTCCTGATGGCAGGAGGGTTCACAGCAGAATGTAACCCTCTAGATGTTACCACAGTCCATTCAGCACTGCCCCTCTCTCCCATTTTCTCTATGTTCCCTACTCTTTCCAAACTTCCAACTTTATGAAATGTCTTTCATAACCACATATGCACACAGTGCTACTCATGTATATAATTGCCTTAAAAATTGACAACTGTAGAGTCCTTGTCTGCATCAACTTCCAGGGACCAAAAGATACTCAGAAACCTCATAGACGTAGGCATTTACTTCCCAAGACAAGGAAATCCGCACACCTTGTGAATCTGAAAGAATCTTGGCAAAGACAAAGCAAAGATGGCACATGATGAGTCTTGGCTATGTAGGGCTGGATCAGTGTGACTGCTATGAGCATGCTTCTCTCGGGGCCACTACATCCTTGAGTATCTTCATTTTCATGTAGGAGATAGAAGGACCTGAGCAGAGCAAACACAAGTATAGGGAAGAGCCCCAACTCATTAGATGGGGTCATTGATCTGCTGTGGTTCTCATGGTGCAATCTATGCTGCCTGTCACAGTGTAAGTAGACAGCATCTTTGATGTAGCTCCTGGTCAGTAGAAGGGATACCCTGCCTCTCAGCACCAAGCCACTGACTCTATGGCTCTCCCTCATGTGGTTGTTCAGTCCTGCTGGAATGTTCTACTGCAGGTTGTTCCTGGGCCCTTAATCTATCCCCTCCCTTCCTTCTCCATTTCCAAAGTGCAAAGTGATAGAGTTCAAGGGTGGTTTTCTAACTATCTGTCTCTGAGTACAGAATGGTTGAATTATAGGAATCCGATTTTCCACCAATCCTATCAGGGAGAACTGACCCTGTCTGTCAGGGTAGACCCTGAGAACAAAGTGAGGATTTAGACTTTTACATCTTCTGTGTCTAGTCTCAGACCTCCTGACATTTCCTTTCCTCCACTATCAAACTTTAGTGAGTTTGCCCAGGACTGTGTGGCTGGTTGAATCCCTTGCTGCAGTGTGGACCTTCCTTTTTTTTTTTTTTTTTTTTATTGTAACAAAGACTCCTTGCTTAGGATGATCATACCAACTTATTATTTTATCTAGCGTTATCTGAGCTACTGGCCCCATTCTGGTACTCACCCACATTAAGATAAAACATCATAATACAAAGAGGAATGGAAACAAATTTGTTTATGCTTTTTCCCCAGTTGGGAAGAAAGGAATTCTTCAGTCTAGAAAATCACAGCCCAGCTCCTCCCACCCCATGCCAGGCTCCCCCTGCAGGTGGTCATCTGCATACCAAGTATAGAATATTCTGGAGGAATATTCATGGGGCCTACATTAATATTGTAGAGTGTTACCTTTTCACTGTGGTGACATGAAGTATACTTTGTTAATAAGTTGTTAACTGCATGGTAGAAGGTTGTGAAGTCTAGACCCTGCAGTGTGTTGCAACTCTACCTTCATTCACACAACTGCATGTCCAGCAACTCCCTGCTTCCACTCAACCATCTCTGGCAGCCACCACCCTGCTCTCTGTTCCAGGGAGTTCAACTGCCTTGGGTCCTCCATGGGAGAGGAAGAGTGCCATATGTTTGCTGCCAAGACCAGCTCATCTCATGTAACACAGTGCCCCTCAGATGCCTGTGTACCATCACGAATATCAAAGCTTTCATTTGTATGGCTTAATAAAAGTCCCTTATACAAATTCATAGACCACACATATTTTTTATGCAGTCTTCTTCTGATGGACACTACTCTAGTGAGTTTTCATTGTTAACTTGATTATTAATTAATACAGAAGGGCCCAGCCTACTGAGGGCACCATCCCTAGGCTGATAGTCCAGGGCTATATGAGAACACCATCTTAGCATGAACCTGAGTGAAGCAGGGAATCGAGCCAGCGAGCAATGTTCCTCCGTCGTTTCTCCTCCAAGTTCTCACTTGAGTTTCTCCCTTGACTTCCCTCAGTTATGTATGGACGGTGATGAGGATGTGTAAGCTAAATGCACCATTTCATCCCCAAGTTGCTTCTGATGAGAGTATAATATCATGGCATCAGAGAACAAACAAGAAGTATACCTAGTTTGTTTTCCTCCATGGGTTATAATGTTATTAGACCCCAAATCCAGCTCTTCAGGATAAATATCTAAAACGATGGGTCACATGGTGGGTCCTATTTTTTTAACTGCATAATTTATCACAAGGGCCACATCTAAACGAGTCCTTTACAGAGCAGCCTGTCTCACTAGTCTCCAGTGTTATGTTACTGAGGAAGAACAAATGTGTGGGCACTGCCTTCTAATTGCCAGCACAGTCGTTCAGGTTTTAATTAATTTGAACTGCTTGAATACTAATGAGCCGTCATGGGCACTAAGTTTCTTTCTATCCCATTTTCCGATCTGAATGAGACCTCTATGGTGGTTCCCAGTGACATCACAGGAGGAAATGTAGACAGAGAATTGACCCTGGGGGCACTCCTTACAGAGACAGTTATGGGCATTGTGTCTACCCTGCGTCTATCGCATCCTCTTTACATCCACTCCTGTCCCTTCTTTTTTATTTTTTCACTTTTAACAATATATTTAATGAGAAATCTTTTTTTCCAATTAAATATCTGTTTATTATAAAACACACATATATGTATATCTCATGTGCAATTTTCAGAGATTCTTTTTCTTTTTTTTTATTGGATATTTTCTTTATTTACATTTCAAATGTTATTCCCTTTCCAGGTCTTCCCTCTGGAAACCACCTATCCCATCCCCACCTTCCCCTGCCCCTATGAGGGGCCTCCCCACCTACCCACTCCTCCCTTCCCGCCCTGGCATTGCCCTACACTGAGGCATCGGACGTCCAACAAGGCCATCTTCTGCTTTATATACGTTGCCAGAGCCACAGGTCCTCTTCTTTCCTCCTGTTACACTCTGCTCTGACACTTGGCGATCTATATGCTTCTTCCCCAGCCGTTCCACGAACCAGTGACACGCAGTGCAGCTCTGTCCCAGAGCCCCGATATGGGAGAAGGATTGGTTCTGAGTTCTCTGCAGGCTCCATCGTCCGATTCGAGTGTAACCCAGGTTACCTGCTGCAAGGTTCCACAGCCATCCGCTGCCAGTCTGTGCCAAATGCTTTGGCCCAGTGGAACGACACCATCCCAAGCTGTGTAGGTAAGTGGGGCCCAAGAGACAAGATGATTACCCAGGGCTGGCTCAGAACCTCATGTCAGGATTAGACCTCTGCTGTCACTGCTCATGAAGTGATCTTGCTCTTCAACTCTGTGAAGATCAATAGATTAGGTCCACAGCCCAATCAAGCCAACCTTAAAAATAAATATTTCCTAAAACATGAGACTTGCATGTGTAAAACACGCTTTCCTTTCTGATGCTCGTTGAGTCTGTTATCAACTCTAAAGTTAAGAAAGCACATAATTTCCATCTGTGGGAAGCGCATGTGGATAGTGAGCTATGAAAGCGCATGTGGATAGTGAGCTATGACATTATATGTATGATGTTCCTTTAATACATCTGTATTTGAAAAGTGTTGGATATGACACTGGTATTGTTTCTTATTATTTGCTACATTTGTCAGAGGAACTTTTAGAGCAAAGGTGATTATCTCTTGAACTTATCTGTGCATTTTAAGTATCTCTTTTTCTCCCTGGATTGATCCAAAGCTCATCAGTATGACCTGGAGCTGCTAGTTTGTACACAGAAGGGTACACTCTACACACACCCTTACATTAAAGTTGAAAAATTATTCCAATCAGAACTCACTTCACAGACACCACTGTTGTAGACAGTCCCTTCTTAGAAAACCCTAAAAAAAATTGTTTATAGAGTTGAAGCTTCAAACTCAGTTACATAATAGATATTGATCACTGATGTTTCACATTTGAAAGCAAAGAAATTCAATTTTACCTTGGCTAAAAATGCCACTTACAATATCAGGAAAAGTTTCCCTGTCTGAGCACAGCCAAGGAGAATGGGCCATAGAGTCTCTGCAACTTCACTTGGTTTTAATATCTCTCTCTCTCTCGTTCTCTCTCTCTCTCTCTCTCTCTCTCTCTCTCTCTCTCTCTCTCTCCCTCCCTCCCTCTCCCTCTCTCTCTCTGTTTCAGTTCCGTGCAGTGGCAATTTCACTCAAAGAAGAGGGACAATTTTGTCCCCAGGCTACCCTGAGCCATACGGGAACAACCTGAACTGTGTGTGGAAGATCATCGTATCGGAGGGTTCAGGAATCCAGGTAGGACCTCAGACCAGGGCATCTGAGGAAGGTCAGCAGACTCCAGCCTTCCTCGTCCTCCCTCTTCCTCCCCTCCCTCCCTTCATCTCTTCTTTCTCTTCCCCATCCTCTTTCCCCCTCCCCCTCTCTCCCCTTTTTTCTTCGTGTATACTTTTTATTTCCTGTGTAATTTATTTAAAGACTTTTTGAAAAACCTTTATTTGCTTGGGTGTGATTCTGGGTTGTGATTCAGCGTAATGCATTTCATTCTGGCTTCTTCATACATACTTTGCCCTCATTCATTCTTGCTCCACAGCCTTCCTTCCTTCTCCCCTCTCCCTCTCTCTGATCCCCCTCTTCCTTCCTGTACGCCCTTGCACTCTCTAGTCATGGCCACACAGGTGGACATCTGTTTCTCTTTTCTGAGTTTTTCTATAAAATATCTTTAATCATTTTCAATATTTGCAAACAAAGAATTTCCTTTATTTTTGAAGCTTTGATTTTATTATTTTTAAGTGAGGTGTGTGTGTGTGTGTGTGTGTGTGTGTGTGTGTGTGTTACCTGAGTGGCCAGAAGAAGGCAGAGAAGCCCCTAGACCTTGAATTACAAAAGGTTCTGTGCCTTGCATAGGGTACTGAGAATGAAACCCAGGTCCTCTGGCAGAACAGTAAGTGCTCCTAACCACTGAACCATCTCTCCAGCCCAATAATTGATTTTTAGAATAATGGCTATGGGATACTATTATTTGTAGAGATTTTACCATGTCCTATTATAGGTTAGTTCCTTTCATCTATATCTATCTATGTAGATAGAGAGATACATGTGTGTGCATGTATGCATATATGTGCATATTATATAAAATAAAATAGTATATACTATATCATCTTATTAATATATTTAATCTTAATAACATATTTAATATATTAAAATATATATTATCCTGTTAAAGAATACTTACCTCTATTCTTTGACAGTTTTCTGTATGTATATAATACATTTGATCACAGCCAGTCACCCATCCTACTCCCCTTGACACCCCCTTCCCCATTTGACCCCAATATGACCCCCTTCCATTTTCATGTCCTCTCATTATTCACATAATCCACTGAACGCAATTTTGGGTATGTGTGTGTATGTATTTTAGTTATACAAAGCTCATGTATATAGATTAGTCTGATTAAAATAAAACACGGTAACCCTGCTTTGTTCTCCGGTAGATCCAAGTGATCAGCTTTGCCACGGAACAGAACTGGGACTCCCTGGAGATCCATGATGGAGGAGACATGATGGCCCCCAGACTGGGCAGCTTCTCAGGTAGGGTGACCCTGCGATTCCCTTTGTCTCTGCTCTTGAACCAGAACAAAAGCCAAAGGAAGAACAGAACCCAGTCTGTGAACAAACTGGTTTTTCCCATAAGGCCTAGCAGCAGTTCTTTCCCATAATGCCTAGCAGCAGGGCTGATCCGAGTGTGTAACCTGAGTCCTGTGAGAGCGACGTGGCATTAGGGTCCTGTGCAGGAGACTATCCGGAGGAGCTAGGCAGCTCAGCAATTAATGGTCAGATTGTGAGGGTAGCCATGGATGGGGAGGCACATGAGAGGGGTAAGGCTGAGAAGGAGGCTTACCCAAGGCTAAGACAGCTAGAAAATGATCCATTGTACCACAGTGAGGCCTGTAATCTGTCATTCTTCACTGTGAAAGAAAAGTGACACTTCGTAAGCCTGACCCCACCCATGCCCACCTCACAGAGGCATGGACCTGGAGCTCCACTGTGGTGACCAGCAGTGCTGTTAGTCCTTGCCCCTTCTGGCTTCACACGTGTGTCTATGTTGGGTCACCTTCCCTTGGCCTTGTCCTCTCAGAGAACTACTGACAGTGTTACCTCCTCCCTCCTCTTGTCACCATGTCCCTAAAACTGATATCATTTGTGCACTGTAGTCCAGTCCACTACTATGTATCATGTGACTTATCTGTTCTAAGACCTCCATTTCAGACACAGAATGGTCTAGACACTTAGCACAATAAGTGTCTCACGAGACTTCTTTTCAACTGGATCATCCTTTTTCTGTTGACTTTTTACTAAGTATGAAACAGAAGAGAGATGAGACTTTCACAGGACTAACCACAAGATGGGTTGTATCATTATATGATTGAGGGATGGGACCAGGACTGTGACTTGTCATTTGATTGCTGTGTGGCCAGCCACATCGGTGTTGGGTGGTAAAGTGCCACTTACAGTCGTTCCTCACCCACTGCCTGCCACTGTCTGCATTTGGGTTTTTGCACCTTTGGGTGTTTAATAGACAACAGGCCATTACCAAACAAGCTTAGTCTGGAATTTTTCCACGTGGGAAGTCTGGCTGAGTTCCTTAGCTAGGGGCCTCTTGTCAATGTCCTATTTACTGTGAGATTTACAGAAACTTTCATTTAGATAATCAACAGAGTTGTGAATAAAGTAGAAATTCTCTGCCATTAAAAACAACAATAAGCCTGTAATTTAAAACCTGCATGTAGAATGCCAAATTCAATTTGATTCTATGACATCTGTTTATCTAACTAGCAGTGCTGAGAGAGAATGGGTGTTCTGGGGCTGTGGGGCAGAAGGGTACTGCTAGAAGGTGTGGAAAGGAAGACTTAGATTAGTGGAATGTAGCCATACCTGGGGCTGGGGAAATGCTTCCACAGTGAGAACCAGGCTCTTACCTGCACTTCTGCTTTACTCAGTGACACTAAGGAAAGAAACCAGCACTATTTCCTGTGCACATTGTACAGAGGTGCTATTGTTATTGTTTTTTAAGTCATCCAGGAGATGACTTAAAAAGTATACACCTGGTGGAGATAGATAGATAGATAGATAGATAGATAGATAGATAGATAGATAGATAGATA